TATTATTATAAATTATTAACAAGACATAAAAATATGGTTCAAGAAAGGCAGGCATATGTTCCTCATCTTTAAAAAGTTTACTACAATTATATGAAAAATTCAAAACCACCTAACATATTTGGGCTCTATCACAGGCACTTTAACCTTATTAAACTCACATACTTAATATATAAAGCAAGTTCTCAAAATAATAAAATCTACAGCTTTGCATATTAGTTCTCACTAACATATGCTAACTGTAACTGTTTCTTCAACACAAAAAATTATTGAGATTTCTAATTTGGTTACATTTTAATTTGTCCTTATTTCAGACACTTGTAGCTGACACCTATGTGCACAAGAGAGTAATAAACATTCACTATCTTATTAGTAAGTTTCTCACAAGGGAAGTAAAGAAACTGTCAACTCATTCCTCTAAAGTAAACATGTTATGACAATGTTCCTGGAGCTTTCCTTTTAGTGGATGCTAAATTGAAGGCTTGGAATAGAAAGCAGGTATTCTACAATAAACACAAAAATGAAAGACTCCCCAGAGGTTAGCTTTTTATTACTGTATCTGATTACTATTCTATACCAAATTAAAACTGTATCCTTTAACACCTTTGGTTTTGCTTTCAAACAAGGATAAGCAACATGTAAGCTAATCATAAAACAACAATCACTAGTGCTCAAAGGAGTTTTCAGGACTACATAGAGAAAAATTTTAAACAATTATATTAAGAGCACTACAAGTGAAGGAAAGCACTTACAAATAATATAGAAACCCAATAGACAAAAACCCTAATTAAAAGTTGGCAAAGAAGATATACAAATGGTCAATAAGCTCATGAAAAGATATTCAACATCCAGTCAAGAGGGAAATGCAAATCAAAACCACAATGAGAAAGCACTTCACACCCAACAGAACGGCTATAATCAAAAACACAGGCAATAACAAGTGTTGGCAGGGATGTGGAGAAATTGGAACCCACATACACTGCTGGTAGGAATGTAAAATGATGCAGCCGCTTTGGAAAAGTCTGGCAGTTCCTCAAAGGAGTTAACATACAACCCAGAATTTCCACTTCCAGGTATATACCCAAGAGAAACAAAAACATATGTCCACACAAAAATTTGTACATGAATGTTCATAGCAGCATCATTCATAATACCCAGAAAGTGGAAACAACCCAAATATCCTTCAACTCAGGAATGGATAAATAAAATGAGGTATATCCATACAATGGAATATCATTTGGCAATAAAAAAGAATGAAGAGGCTGGACATGGTGGCTCACACCTGCAATCCTAGCGCTTAGGGAGGCTGATGATTTTACTTGAGGCCAGGAGTTCAAAAACAGCCTGGGAATTAGCAAGACCCAGTCTCTACAAAAAAAACATAAAAATTAGCTTGGCGTGGTGACATGTGCCTGTAGTCCCAGCTACTCGGGAGGCTGAGGCAAGAGGATGGCTTGAGCCCAGGAGTTTGAGGTTCCAGCAAGCTATGATGATGCCACTGCACTCCAACCACAGCAACAGAGGGAGACCCTCTCTCAAAAAAAAAAAAAAGGACGAACAATGCTCCAATGAGCATTTTGGATTTCAGATTAGGGATGCTTAACTGGTACAACTGCAAATATTTCAACATCCAAAAAAATCCAAAATCCAAAACACTTCTGGTCCCAAGCATTTCAGATAAGGGATACTCAACTTGTACATGCTATTAAAATAACATAGATGAACCTTGAAAATGTTACGCTAAAAGAAAGAAGCCACTCACAAATGACAATATATTAGATTCTGTTTATATGAAAATCCCGAATAGGCAAATGTATGGAGACAAAAATAGATTCATAGTTACTTAGAGTTTGGGAATTTAGGGGAGAAAATGGGAAGTGAATGCTAATGGGTACAGGATTTCTTTTGGGGGGCAATGAAAATGTCCTAAAATTGAT